TAGCATTTGGGACTTATAATTAAATAGACTTGCTTTATATGGTGGGATCTAGATTGCATTACTTTACTACAATTACTAATTGTATAACTTTTTTCTGGCATGTTTTTTAGATCTAGCAAATAGATGATATAAAAATAAGCAAGTTTCTACTTTAAATTAGCAATAATATTATTTTTTGCTTATAAATATTTTTTTAAAAAAATATTTGCAATAGAGAGATATATTTTAGTTAAATATAGTAATTTTTTTTTAGTTTTGTTAATAAAGTTGTAGTTAATCAATATAATTTTTTATAGATAATCCAAAACCTCAGCCAAATGAAATAAAAATATTTTATCTTGATGAAAATGAAAAATCTTATAAACTGCTAAAATTAATAGAATCTAACAAATTAAAAGAATTGTGAGTTATAAAATTTTCTAATTGTTTTAGTTTTTATATTTTTTGTATTGCATATTTTATATATTTTTATTTTTTTTATTCTATATAATTATAGTAAAGTTTATAAACAAATAGGCCAATATTTTGAAATTAATAGTAGTTAAACAACTCTGAAAGAAATTAAGAATAATTAGGGTTCCTGACTATAATAATAAATAGCAATATTTTAATTATATTTGATAAATTAAAGCTAGAGATTTGCTTTCTTTAATATTAATTTTTTTTACAAAAAAAGAATTTGAAATAATCTAACTTTTGCAACTAGAAAACTATAAAGTATTTAAAGTAAAAAAATATATAATAAATATATTGTATCTTTACTTTGAGCTAGTTTAGAAGATTTTCTAAATAGTTTTATATTTTTCAGTACATTTAAATATTAAAATATAGCAAATAGAGTACAAAAAAGATTATAAATAAATAAAAAAACCTTTGCACAAAAAATCTGATTGAAAAAAAGCTAGATATTATAGCTATAACAAAATATAGAGTAATATTTTTAAATTTGTTTATGTTGAATTAATACAAGTTATTTTTATTAAATCAAAAAAAAACAAATTTGTAAAATTATAGAAAAAAATTTTGGATATTATAAGCTTTGTAAATTTTGCATGTAGGCTAATAAGTAATTAATTTAATATTATTAAAATACAAGAAGCCATTAAAGAATTATATTTAATTGGTGATCCACGAG